ATGTTATGTCTTAAAATAATTGAGTGTAATTTTGTTGCTTGCTCTGTGAAGGATCATGGAGTAGTAACAAATTAAAAGAAAAAGAAATATCTTGCCCTGGCTGGTATAGCTCAGTGGATTGAGTGTGGGCCTGCAAATCAAAGGTTGCAGGTTCAATTCCCAGTCAGGGCACATGCCTGGGTTGCAGGCCAGGTCCCCAGTAAGGGGCATGTGAGAAGCAACCACACACTGATGTTTCTATCCCTCTCTTTCTCCTTTCCTTCCCCTCTCTCTAAAAATAAATAAAATCTTCAAAAAAAAGAAAAGAAAAAGAAAGTTCTGGATCTGCCTGAAAAATAGAGTACTATTTGAAATGGAATTGAAATACAGTGGGTTTTAAAGCATGCCTCATAGTCATTTGCTGTTATACATTTGTGAGGCAAGTTATTTATCTAGTCTAAAGTCTTAATTGCCTTCTGAAAAAAATACGAATAGTATTTGTACCTACTATAGGATATAATTTAAAGATTAAGTAAAATATTTGCAAGACATTATAAATCTAGCTCAAATAAATATTAGTTATTAGTATTCCTAATTTAATGTTGATAAATTGCAGCCCAATGAACTCAAAAGATTATTTTTGGTCACGGTGTATATATATGCAAAAATACTTGATATCACAGCTATGTTTAATGCTGTTAACATACATCCACATACCAGGACAGAAATATTCAGTTCAAAATGAGAACACGACTGCTAATAAGACAGTAGATGTAAATACAGCATGCCAGTAAATGGAAAAAAAAAAAGACAAGTCCTGTTTTTATATTTCAGCCTGCTGCTTCATATCTCACTGTTGAAAATGAAAAAGCAAGTCACAAATTAGAGAAAGTATTTGCAATACAAGTAGCTCTAAATGGGCCCATGTCCCAAGTATATAAGGAACTATTAAAATTTAATAAAAAGACAGTTAAGAAAAATTGTAACAGAATAATTGATACATGCTTTCTTAGAAAAGATACGCTAATGGCCATAAGGCACAAGAAAATATATTCAACACCAGTAGCTATTAGGGATATACAAATTAAACCACAGTGAGGGAACTATTTTATATCCACTAGAAAGACAAAAATTCAAAAGGTTGACAATCATTTTTCAAAAGTCTTAAATGTTAGAGAATGCAGGTACAAATTCCTTGAGAGAAAAAAATCCTTCAGATAAAATCCTGAGCAAATAGAGAGGGATTAACTTTTGATAAACTTATTTTCTTTTTAATAGGAGGGAAAGCAGGCACTGTATATATAGAGCAAGTAAAATTGTATTTATGGTAAAATGATAATGTCAGAGTTCTTGATGTATGCATTTTTAGGAGTCCGTGAAGATTTGACATTGGTAGTGAGAGATGTGAGAGTTTTTTGAGGTAATTGAAAGATTTTAAAATCTTGTTACACAGGAAAGCAGAAAAAACGTAGGATTGCTGGACAATAATTTATCCTCTATTTTCATTTTGGGTCATTTTACAGTGTTAATACCTCATATTTTGTGTAGAGTTAAGACACTGTAGGGACTGAGTGAGTAGAGAGTCAGATTTTCTTGTGCTTCTTTTTCCTCACCTGTAAAATGGGGTAACTGATAGCACTTAGCTTGTTTTTAGAGATGAAGTGAGTTAATATGTGTACATATTTAGATACTCTTAGTGTATAGTGTTATCTCTGTGCTAATAATAGCAATACCTCTGGCTAGCTCCAGCTACTCTGAACACAAGTAAATAAGGAGGTAGACAAGGAAAAAGTACACAGTTGCAGGAATTCAGGGTTGAAAGTTTTTCAGATCAGTGCAGTGGACAGTGAGTTTAAAAAGTAAAGAGCAATTTTAACAACAACGACAAAAAATAAAGAGCATTCCCAAGGGTATAATATTGAACCAAAATCAAGATGAATGGGAATATGGGGGTGGGGGGTGAGGTATTGAAATAATGTTGATCCAGCTAATGAATTGGATTTCTGCATGACCTGGGTGAGTAGGGAAATGAGATAGAGCTGTAGGTGGTATATTCAGAAAGTGGGATAATTCACATTTTTGAATCATTGTACTTGCAAATCATAAAAGTCTTAAGGAATAGCTATGGGGATGGAAACTGAGGTGATATGAAGAAACAGTTTGGTTTCCAGAGATAAAAAGATCCAAAGAGACATGTGGCTCATTTCCGGAGTAATCATCTGTGTGCACTTTGAAGCCACACACAAGCATGAAAGCAGAAGGGCATGGGGAGGAGTACTATTATGACCCACATTCCAAAGGTTGTAGTGTCCAAATGAGAATGAACAAGAAGTCCCAATGTGAAGTATCGCGTAGGATAGAAAGTGGTATTTCATACTGTGTGCTTCACTGAAACTAGGATAAAGTTTTGGAACTGCAGTGAGAAATGAGGACACCTGCAATAGGCCCGTCTTTGGCAGTGCTTAAGAGCCTTCATCTGAAAGGCATACTGACACAGCAGCATCATTTGAGGTCTACCCAGGTTAGGAAGATAAAAGGAACTTTCACAAAAGACGTTCAAGTTACAGGAGGTTTGATGAAATGTTTCAGGAGGGTAGGGAATGGTGGAAGAATTGCCACATTTCAGAGTGTGAATCAAACGGAAGGATGGACCTGGAGGCCTGAGGCTTCTGGCATTAAATAAATGGAGCTTAGCACGAGTTTAGGCCAGATGATGTCTAAAAGATAAGCAATCTCTGGTGGCTAAGATGATGTTTGGAGCATTCATGTAACTGCTTGCTGGTCTGCAGGGAGAGCGGGCCCCTTGGGAGCCTTTCACAACCAGTCATCCTTCAGGTGACCGCCCTTCCTGGAAACCATGAGGAGAGATCTAGAAATGGATAATAAAGACCACTTACAGTAAAGTTCTTGCATGGCGAGCATTACAATACATTAATTTATCTTTTTAACACATAATTTTCATAACATTGATGTCTAACAATACATATAAAAACTTTTTCATGTACAGTTAAGTATATCCAGCTTATTACATGGAAAAATATAGTTTCCATGGTGTTCCATCAGCATGATGTTAACTAGAAATTTTAGTAGAAAATTTTGATTAGTTTGTGAAGGTGAACTATCATAAACATTATAATGAATGATATCAACATAAATTGTTTTAACCCATTCTTAAGTAATTTTTCTCTGGTAGAGTGGGCTATAAAAATCAAAGTTTCTTGGCAGCAGTGCCAATCCTTTGCTTAGCATTTGACTTCCAAGAGGAGACTGAAATTCTGATCAGTATGTTCTTTCGGCCTAACCTGAGTTGCTGCAAAGTAACTCTGATGCAGTAATGGCAGCCTTCCCCAGAGAGGAGTCACTGATGCTTTTACCTGCTCCAGGGGCACTAATCTTCCAACTCCACCACCAAAGAGTTAGTTTATTTCTCCAGAACCCCACATCAAGGAATTTCTAAAGCAAGGACCTTAAATTAATGTGAAGTCAATAGAGCGACATATCCATACATTCCTGAAACACGAGCTTGGCCATTCCCCTGCCTCCGGGCTGCTTCCACATCTTGTCAGATTGGGAAAATGATAAAGGCTTTGCATTTCTCCCTGTCCCAATTTGTACTACAAGTCAATCGAGAACTTATCTGTAAACCTTGTCTTCTCCTGGCCTGAATCATTTTATTGAAATGGTAGCTATTACAGGGTAGGGCAAAAGTGTAAAAACCTAAAATGCTATAGAACCTAAAACCTATAAACGTACTTTTGCCCTATTGTGTATGTTCCAGGGAACAGTGGTCAGTAAACTCATCAGGCAGAAGAGCTCTCAAGGAGTAAAGTAAAACTTTATTTATATACTATAGAATGCTTAAAATCAGGGGACATGCACTTTTTTTTTTTTTACTTTTTACAGTTAAATCTACTTGTATTGCATAGTGAAATGCTAATTAGAAGTGTCCAATAAATGTACACCGAGTTTCTGCATGTGTGGCAGCCCCTAGGGAAGGGGAAATATGTTCTCTTCCTGTACTTACACTTCTCTTCCCCCAACACCACTCAAGCATCAGAATGGGATATTATCTGTTATATTTAATAAAGTGCATCAAAGGTTTAAAATAAGGTAGTGCACCAGGCCTTGGCAGTGTGTGATGTAGTTTTCTGCAACTACATGTGTAACCTGATAAATCCATGACTCCATCACGTGACTCTGTTTTTGCATAAGTTTTTTAAAAAGCATTCAGCTAGCTCAAGTATCAATGGTAACAGTTCAGAAAATTCTATTTCTTCCTTCCCCTGTTTTCACTGAACATGAACTTAGTCACAGAGTCACATTCCAAACTCCCAAACTCCTATTACAGTTTGGGAAACTTTCGTTCCCTCCCTCCTTTGTCTCTCTTTACTACATTTATTAGGGACAACAGCCACCTTCCCAGTAAGCTAAAGGGAGAAGATAAGTGAGGGGAAAATAAAGAGAAAATGAGGAAGCCTGTGAATGAATGGCCATTAAAATTTTTTGTGCTATTACATACTTTTGAATTCTTATTTTTCTATTGGCTTTCTCATTGAGATCATTGGAGTAAGTATAAGGAGACAGAAGAAATATATACATCTTTTTTTCACATACAGGTGAACTAAGTATGCAAAACTTAATATTTTGCTATGTTACTTACAATTCATAGAGCCAATTTTAAGACAGATATTTCCCCTGTGCTGGTATGTTTTTTATGGTATTCATCCACTGTCTCTGAATGTCAATGCCACGTTCGATTCATCAGCATCGCATTTTGAGCAACACATACTTTGTATGCTAAAATAAAATTAGCCACTAATAGGAGACTAAAATTTAAGGAACATAATGTTTTTTAACTTTTAAGGACTTTATTTATTTTCCAGGATCAGGTACTGAGAGAGCACCGCACATTTCCAGGCTCTTGACTCCTCACTCCAATAGTATTTCACCTTCAAAAGTTTGAATTTTTTTTCTGCAGTGTCAATGATTTTCATGGTTTGCTGGTTTCATGGGTGCTTCAACTAACACTTCTCCTGCTGTATTTTCTTGTTGTGCATTTTTCCAGCCAGAGTGTTTGTTGTCTTTTCCTTGAAGAACCTTATTCCACTGCTCAAGGACCTTTGCCTCTTCCAGAAGGGCTTTCTCTTCCTCTTGAAGAGCACGGTTTTCCTCTCTGAGCGCCTCGTTCTCCTCTCGAAGGGCCCGTTCCTCCTTCCACAGAGCCTGTTCTTCCTTCTCTAGCGCTGTTTCTTCCTTCATCAGGGCTAGTCTCTCCACCTTGATTGCACTCTCCTGATGTTGCAGGGCTTTGATCTTCTGGTGGAGAGACCTTATTTTTCCCTGAAGAGCTTGCCCTTCACTCTCGAAGGCTGTCTTCTGTTCCCTGACAGCTTTTATCTGAGCTTGCAGAGCTCGATACTGTTGCCAAAAAGACTTTCTTTCTGTGCTCAGTGCATTCATCTTTTCCTCCAGTGGTTTTTCGCTTTCAAAAATCACGTTCTTAAACTTCCGGAGGGTCTGGTGTTGCCGTCTCAGGGTCTGATTCTTTTCCCGGATTAACTGGTTGTCCATTCGGAAGGCCTTGTTTTCTCTTCGGAGAACTTTGTTTTCTTCCCAGAGGGACTTGTTTTCTCTTCTAAGAGCTTTGTTCTCCTCCCTGGACACCTGGTTCTGTCTCTGAAGCTTTTTTTTCACTTCCTGAGATTCACTTTTGAACTTATTTTGATTTCGGGTGCAAGAGAAAAATGAAGAAAACACGCACAATATCTTTCTTCTATTAATCCACTTTGATTCAGAGACAACCATTGTCTTGTTAGTGTTTTATCTGAGCAAACTATACAAACTCCAAGTGTGCTGGGTTCAACCAAGGCAAACTAATGATATTTGCAAGAAAAAAGTACTGAATTGGGTGAGAATTTGTTGGTATAGAATTGGCTGTTGTGTTGATTAGCACAGGAAATACTATAGCAGGGATCTAAGGCAGGCTCAGTTGGGTCCACTGCAGGATAAAACAGTGAAAGTAGGAGAAAAGTCAGTATATTAACTATTCAGTTGATATAACAAAATGAGTAAGTTTAAATAAATCTCAACTCAAATTAAAAATTAATAATTCTACATTAAAGATTGAATGTTGAACAAGGTTAATGCATTGACTTGTTTTGGGTGCTAAACTCAACTCTGTGATAAAATACTATCAAATTATTAATCTTCTACTAATATATTCAATATTTATAACTAAGTCACCTGTTATTGATGTGGAAAAAGCGGTATTTAAAAAACATTTCTGGCTTTGTAAGAACTATAAAACATTAAAAAAATTGTACACTATAGATTTTTAGACATTTAGTATTGATGTATTGAAAGACACATTCACGCTTACATTTCTGGGTCCTCTGTATTCTCTGCCAACCTAATTTCTTTCAGTACTAGAAAACAAGTAGGCAACACTGAGCATTATATGACGTCACTATAGGTGATGTCATCCACAGTGACATCATATAATGTTGACACCAGTGAAAGCTATGCATAGTGTTTGGCTATTTTTTTTAAACATTATTTCAGGAAAAAATATATGTGATTTGTTCTATTTTTTTTGTTGCTGTTGGAACAAAACAAAAACTTGCCTGTTTTTGTTTGTTTCTGTTTTCTCTACCTAAGGCTAACTGTAACCCCTTTATGAGTCTTTAATGTTTTCTTTGGTCATTCAGGAGGTATTATTTTTTGGTCTATTTTTAAAGAATTAAATTTATTGGGGTGACACTGGTTCACAAAACCACATATATTTCAAGTTTATAACATTTTTTGCCAAGAAAAACCCTCCCAAACAATACACTGTTATTTATTAGGTGAGGATTTATCCTGACAGGATTATATGTCAGGCACTGGAAATGTGCATAATAAAGTAACTATTTCAAAGAGTAACTTTTATTCATTAGAAAACTAAATGGGGATTTTGAAATATTCTTTCCTGCCTGCTTCCTGTTTGGGCTACTTGGTGACCAATGAAGCCTCTTTTAAAATTGATTTTTAAACATATGGGTATATTTAATGTTTTCCTCTAGCATTAAACCAGTATGTATTTAATCATTGCTTCCATATAAACTATTAAAGTTTTTTTAAAATACTTTATTTATTTATTTTTCGAGAGAGGGAAAGTGAAGGAGAAAGAGTGGGAGAGAAACATCAATGTATGGTTGCCTACCATGCGTCCCCTGCTGGGAACTGGCCTGCAACCCAGGCATGTGCCCTGACTGGGAATCGAACTGTGATACTCTGGTTCGAAGGCCCGCGCTCAATCCACTGAGCTATGCCAGCCAGGGCTAAACTATTAAAGATTAAGACATTTATTTTTGTTATTAGCTAAGTGCTTCTAATTATTGTTCCTAGGAATTGGCTAGTAGTAGTAAATGTATAATCAAAGGTGGGAATATTTTACATGATTTTAAGATTTCTACTGAATAATCAATGTTAGGTAAATTTGTATGTTAAGAGAAATAGCACTGGAAGTTTTTAATTCCAATAATCTTATTTAAAATAAATGTTCTATTGAACATATATCAACTGTTATTTATAAAACAAAATTTTTATATTTTTAATGTTAACTTTTTTGGATATATTAAAATATTTTATATCATAGGTGTCATAATATTGAATGATTTGTATTTATTTACCATTGGTTTAAGGCATAAATGAGAAAATGGAAAATGCAGTAGCATTTATAAGCCCAAACCACTCACACTTGAATAAAGATTTGTCAATTTATTCACCAAACCAGGTTTTTCTTAACAGCTGTTTGCAAAGTATCTGCTTAACAAGGTTGAAAAAAGTATTTTTCTCATACATTTATAACTCTCTATTAAACTTAGTAAAAATAGTAAAACAAAATCTTCATTCTGTTGAAAGCTTCTATAAAATTCAGAGCCATGTGAAAGTTTTCTATTTCTTTGTTTTTATCTTGATGACAGTGCAACATCCATTTGATCATCTTCATCTGTAATTACACTGAGAAAGTTTTCCATGTGACTGTGCACCAGCTTCCTTTTTATATTGGTTTTTCTGTGACTATGCACCAGCTTCTTTTAAATTTTTTTTCATTTAAATCGTTTTATTGTTGTTCACTTACAGTTATCTTCATTTACTCCCCCCCACTCCCCCCCACTTCAGCCCTCCCCTGACTCCCCCCACTCCCCCCACTCCAGTCCCTCCTCTGACTCCACCCCCCTTGGTGTTGTCCATGTGTCCTTTATACTTGTTCCTGAAAACCCTTTACCCTTTTCCCCATTATCCCCTCCCCTCTCCCCTCTGATTACTGTCAGATTGTTCTTAATTTCAGTGTCTCAGGTCATATTTTGCTTGCTTGTTTGATTTGTTGACATAGGATCTCACCTTTAACTAGAACCAGCTTCTTTATACTAGTGCTTCTGCTTTTTTGATACTGCTATCGTGGTAGCTGAAGACTCAAAAGGAGTTCTAGAAGACAGAGGACTCTGGCATTCTCTATTGGAATGTTGTAATTCTTGAGGTGTAAGGGTAAACTAGGAAGCAAGAAGAAAATCTGTTGCTATTGATCTATTAAGGAAATTGAACTCATAATTTAAACCTTTCCCTCAAACAAACTATGGGCCCAGATGGCTTCATTAGGGAATTTTTTTCAAATGCTCCAAAAAGAAATAATATTTCCATTAATGATTTCAGATGATAGAAAAAATGAACAGCTTCTTGTTTTGAAACCACCTTACCTTACACAGAAACCTCACAAGAAAGGGAGCTATAGCCTAAGATAACTCATAAACACAGATGTAAAAATCCTAAACAAGATTAGCACACCAAGTTCAGTGATGCATAAAATAAATATTATTACGAACCTGGGTTTGATCATGAGTGCAAGATTGAGTTGCCCTATTGATAAATCAATAGGGTAAATTATGACAAAGAACAAAATAGAAAACTTTCATCTTGTGTCAAGATGAGAAAAGTAATGTCAGTAGATCAGAGAAAGTATTTGATAACACAAAAGAGCAATAAAAGCCCTGGCTGGTATAGCTCAGTGGATTGAGCATGGGCCTGTGAAGCAAAGGGTCGCTGGTTCGATTCCCAGTCAGGGCACATGCCTGGGTTGCAGGCCAGTTCCCAGTAGGGGACACATGAGAAGCAACCACACATTGATGTTTCTCTCCCACTCTTTATCCTTCCTTTCCGCTCTCTCTAAAAATAAATAAATAAAATATTTCTAAAAAAGCAATAAATATGGTTTCATGATTGGAAGCCAAAATCATACCAAAAACACCACTAGTGACAATATCCTCTTAGTGCACTAGGGACAGAAAAGAACTTATTTAATTAGGGATATTGAAAAATAAACCTGCAGAACGTATAAGATGATGAAATACTAATACATCATAACTATGTAAGGGTGTCCCTTACATATCATCACTTTTATTTTTCATAGACTTAAAGTTTCTTACTGCTGCAAGCTAAGAAGTAAAATGTGTAAGGATTCGAAAAAAATATGAGGCTCTCATTATTTACAAATAATATTGAAAATCTGTATAAAATGATACTAAGCTATTAAAATACAATATTTAAAATATAGTAAACTATTGAAATATGATTTAGCAAGCTTGTTGGATATAAGATCAATCTAGTAATCAGCCTTATTTACATGTATTCAGCTAATAAACAATTGAAAATAAATTTTATAAATATATTACTTACATTGACAGCAGAAACAAAACACCTAGAAATAAATTTATGTAAGACTTCTATAAAGAAGAGTATAAGCATTATTGAGAGAAAGTACAGAGATATAAATAACAGGGAGAATAAATCATGTTTAGAAATGGAAAATGCAATATTGGAAATATGTTAAAATTTCTCAAACTGATTTATTTGTTCAGTGGGTTCCCTGGGAAAATAACCTTAACAGCTTGTGTAGGCACATATATGTGTGTCCAAAAGCTGATTCTGATACTTCTATTAAAATGTCGGGAAAAGTCCTGGTGATTGTGAAAAAAAGGATGAACTTTTTATTTTGTTTACTCCAGAACAGCTGTATCAAAATTTCATTTGATAACGCCAAGCAGGTTTTAACTTAAATTGGTTTGATATGATAATTATATTGTTTACAATATCTATCCTAACTGTACCAAAAATAAGTAACTTTAAAAACAAAAGATTGACTGTTTAAAAGGCTATCGTCAATCAAATTGCGTAGTGTTAATTCAGGGATGAACAAGTAAAGTAATGAGTCAGAAGCTCAAAAAGAGATGCACATCTTCATGGACACTTGCTTCATGGAACAAAATGAATGAATCTCACCAACACTAAGGATAAGGGAAATACACAATATCATATCAGTGATATGATATTTATTTATGATTTCACTTCAATAAAATGGAAAAGCATGTAATGATGTATGATCTTATAAACTAGAGAACTGATTACTTCTGGGAGGCAGGGGTGTGCTGAGGACGGGGTTCTGGCAGTTTCCAGTTTTTAGTTCTAGGTAGAGATTCTGTAAATTTGTTTATTTTTTGATAATTTATAGCATCATCCACATAATTTGTACATTTTATGCATCCATGATCTACTAAAAAATGTAAAAACAACACAGGAAAGTGTTCTTTTGTGAATTGATGTACCTTTGATCATTTTATCATAGTCTGCCATTTCAAAGCAGTGTTATCTTGCTCAAGTTAACTCTTTTCTTTCTCTATTTCATGAAATTTATAATGAGGAAAATGCAATCTTTTGATTTAAAATACCTGTAAAGAACTTAGAAGTTTGGCCCATGAGTTGAATCACTA